AGGTTAGGGTTTAGGGTTTAGGGTTTAGGGTTTAGGGTTAGGGTTAGGTTAGGTTAGGTTACGGTTAGTTACGGTTACGTTACGTACGTACGTACGTACGTACGTAGTAGTAGTAGAGAGAGAGAGAGAGAGAGAGAGAGAGAGAGAGGGGCCGTACAGGCAATCTGACGATCCTTGACTTGGTTGCAATGGCTTTGATGATGGCTTGTTTGATCCACCAATATACATAAGTGGAGAGCTTGTAGCCCCTCCTGTGGTCGAACCTCTCTGCCCCTCGAAGAAGCCCAAGGCTCCCTTCCTGCGTAGCACTTTAATTCACTCTCTCAACAAAGCTAACTATAACTTCTAGAGAGAGACTGTGTCACTCTCAAATCTCAACATAACCGAAACTTTTAGAGAGAGAGAGAGAGCTGTCAATCTTTTTTTACAAAGAGAAGTGTCGCATTCACAATTTCAAGTCTATTCTTTCTCAACAAAACCAACTAAAACTGAGAGAGAGAATTGAAAGTTTTAGAAAGAGAGAGAGGGACCTGAATGAGGTCGCTGAGGCTCATGCCTTTGCCCGGATAGGAAGTAGCAATGGAGACGACCAATCTTCGATAACTGTTAGTGATTCTATTCCTACATTCCCTTGCAATCCCCAACCTTCTCTCCATGCTCGACTCTCTCATCCCAACTGCCTCTGCCCATTGCCCCCGACTTGGCTCTCTCCCTCTCTTCTCTCTAAGCTTCCTCCGAATTCCCTCAAGCCTTGCCCCTTCCTACAAAATGCACGTTCGCTTTCATAGAATAATGCATGAGAGAGAGAGCTGTCAATCGATGACCTCCATACAAAATTCATAATAAAAAAAGAAATACGTAGACAGAGAGACCATATCATCACTCAAAAAATAATAATATTGGTTTCTAATAGACTATGCTCCTTGGTAGAAATTTTCCAAAAAATCTGCTTCTCTCTCTCACACACACCCCATTTCTCTCTCTTTCTCTCTCTCTTTTGACAAATACCCCATTTCTCTCTCTCTTTTTACAAATACCCCTCTCTTTCTCTCTCTCTCTCACACACACATTTCATCGCCCGCTTCCAATCTGTCGAACTTTTAACTGGAAATCCATCATCACACTCACCAATGTATTCAATAATTTGGACAAGTTTAATTGAGGCAGTTTACCCGAAGGCAGAGTGAGAACTCTGCTTCCTCTCTCCTCGTCAGGTAGTCCTCCGAGGAAGATGACTTCTCAAACAATCCGACTGATCGTAAAACCCCCGAAAGCTCCGTTTCCGCACTTTCTCTATCCTCTCTTCTCTTCCTCTTCTTCTTCCTCCTACGCCTGGCGCATTCCCAACTTGCAAATTCACCTCTCCTCGACAATTCGTGGCTTCCATCGGAAACTCGAACTGTGGCTTCAACTGCTTCTCGTGCTGCCTCTGCTGCCGCCTTTGCAAGAGAAATGGCTTGTACAGCGGCTGCAATAGTTTCTCTCTCCTCTAAGGCTTGGCTTGAGTCCACAGCTCCATTACAACTAAGCTTTAGAGAAGAAGAAGAGGGGAAAGAGGTGGGAAGAGATAGAGAGAAGAGGGTGCTTTTGGGAGGAGGCTTGGTGGTGGTGGGGTTGAAAGTTGGAATCGCAGATGGGTTGGGGAGGAGAGAGGTAGTGGCCATTGCATTGCTTGGATGATCAAAAAAAGATATGGTTTTGAGTGTGTGGGGTGGATATTTTTGGTGTTTGCCTGCTGATATTTCTGTATTTTTGTTTACTGTTACTGGGGCATATTTGGATTGCAATGAACCTCTCTCTCTCCCTTTCTTTTTTTTTTTTTGTGTACGTTAACACAAGTCTCTCTTTCTCTGTCCACCACTCTCTTTCACTCCCCTCTCTCACTTTTTGCTGTTTCCCTCTCTCCTCCTTTTCACCCTCTCCCTCTCCCTCTCCCCCTCCCCCTCCCCCTCCCCCTCTCCCTCTCCCTCTCCCCCTCGTCTCTCCCTCTCCCTCTCCCTCTCCCTCCTCTCCCGTTTTGCTGTTTCTCTCTCCCATTTTGTGGTTTTTGGGGAGGAACTTGTTAGCGCCCCAAACCTTCGCACATTGTGTTCTCCGAATCTACCTATTTAATATTGGGAAAAGTTTATATAAGAAGGTTGCAACGGTAGAACTATTAATATTGGGAAACGTTTATATAAGAAGGTTGCAACGGTAGAACTACATATGCACCTCAAAAATCCATCGGTAAAAGTTGTTTTAATGTTGAAAAACCCTCTAATTGATCATCTCGACATTGAAATGCATGATTATGAAAGAAAAAAAGATTTTGAGTCTCAAAAATGATGCATCTTACAACACATCATGTAAACCGTCCATTTTCAAGATTTTCATATGTTTATAGATCTATTTGATTTTAATCATTTTTGGAGTTTAAAATTTTATATTAAAATTGAAAATAGATTTTAAGATAATCTTAAAAATATTTTACATCAAAATTATATGTTACGATAAAATTTGTAGGTGCACTTGTCTAAGGTGGCAACCTTATGGAAACCATACCCTTTAATATTTAACCAAAACAACTTGTTCTTTGAAACATGGAATAAAATGGAAATTTTGATAATTTATTCCTACTGGTATCTAGAGCCAAATTATCAAAATGCCACTAATTCAAAATTCCAAATACTACATGGGCACTTCGAATAAAATAGTTGAGGAAGTACTCGACTGAAATAACCTTATCAAACTAACCACTTTGTTGAAAAATAACCACTAGTGGCTTTGGAATGCCCAAAAAAAGGGTAACATTTTTCGATAAATCAATATTATTGTGTTTTTTTCCAAGTTATTTAAATATGGGAAAAGTTTCTACAGGGTTGCAACCCGCAACCCTTAAACTATAGAATCACAGATGCACCACAAGAATCTATCATATATGTTATTTTAATGTTGAAAAAAACCCTCTAATCGATCATCTCGACATTGTGATGTATGAATATGAAAAATATAAAAAAAAATCGAGTCCCAAAAATAGTACATCTTGCAACACATTATCTAGACCGTCAATTTTTAAGATTTTCATATATTTATAGATCTACTTGATTTTAACCATTTTTGGATCTTAAAATTTTCTAATTAGATATAAAAATAGATTTTAAGGTGCATGCATGAGAAAACCACCTCTTTTTTGTATGGTAGTCCCTAATGAAGGGCTCAAAAAGCCACTGAAAAGAACAGACCCACAAATACGGAGAACCCATGATGCCAATGTCTATAGCTACTGGATATTACTCAAAAGAAGCTGAAGCTCTTGAAAACAAGGATTTGGATAGAATACAGCGGATATTACGAGTTCTTGGTGATGGAGCCACAAGTCAGGATTCAACAATGGAGCGTGTGGAGATTCCTTATTATGCAGGAATGGACGCTGTAGAAGTGTGTGAAAGTAGGGCACAATTGGAAGAGGATAATATAAGTACAATCACCAAACAACATATAAGGGTTTTGGATACATCCAATAGTTTAACCGGTACTTACTGAATCTCGTGCATCCAAACACACCCTTACATTATTATTTGTTATAACCTTACTTATCAAAATGGCTGGGGTGTATGGTTCTTGTTTCATTCACATTGCTTCTTCTTCACTCCTCAAACCCATTACTGTTCCCCAACAGTCCCCGCAGCTCCATGCTGATAATCAAGACAAAAAAGAAGAATAAGTAACATGGCTAAAACAATGGATCTCTCT